AATACCAGTGACTATTATTCAATAACCACTAAATTAATTCAAGCCCAGTTAAATCTACAGTATATTCAACCTGGTTCTGATAAATCTTTAGACTGAGGTATACTCAGATACTCCATATTTCATGTGCAAATACATTTTTTCACCATTATTCACCTGCAAAGTTACACAAAAAATCCTTTATGGGACCACGGCAGAGCTTTTGTTTCCATTGCAATATGGGAATGCTGCAAATGCCCAATTCCCTCTGTGGGCATGGTTAATCTTTCTTTTTGGACTTTATTATTGAGTACTGTGCATGTCAGATGTTTAGCAACTTGTTCTTATAATTTATATGATTTTACATTTCTGTAATCATGTGGCTTTATGATTGCATGACCCGTAAGTTGAATGAAATGCTTCAAAGACACAAAACATTGGTGCGGGGGCAAGTGGAGAAAGACGTCAGGCCCTTTTGTTAGTTTAGTTTCTGCAACTTGTCTACCTGGTAATTAATGTTTAACTTTTATTTCATTTTACAGCAGTTCAGTTGACTGTATCTTAAACCAGTGGTTCCCAACCATGGTCCTTGAGGAATGCCATATTGCATGTTTCAGTTGTTTCCCTGCTCCAACACACCTGATTCAGTGACTTTATTACTTCAAGTTCTGCCAAAGCCTGTTAAGCATCCATTCATTCAAATCAGGTACATCAAAGCAGGGAAAAAACTAAAACATGCAGGATGGTGTTCCTCAAGGACCACGGTTGGGAACCACTGTCTTATGAACCCCCGAAAACTGATAATTTTAAAACTCACCATTTACTGCTCTCTCACCCAATAAAGTGGTGGAATTATTGCCCTTGTGCGAGTGTTTGTGTGTGTACCTGTTCCTTTTTGGAGCTTGTCTGGTGTACACATCTACCTATCAGGGCCAGTAGTCTTTCTGGGGGACCAAAACCTGGTCCTAACATGGCGGAACTCCATTTGTGATTTAGGGGATAGGGTTAGGTCTAAGGTGTAAACTGAGTGCAGTTAGGGTTAGGTATTTACTAGTAATGATTAGGTTAGGGTTAGGGTTAGGGTCAGAGTTAGGCTACAGAAATGAATGGAAGTTGATACACGGTCCTAACAAGGATAGAAAGAAACTTGTGTGTATGTGAATGCACTTATTTTAAGGTAAAAACTGAATCCTTTCAGGCACACTGATGTTTAAGATTTTGTTTGGATGAGATTACAGCAGCTCCTGACTGCTCATAAGAATCTCACTCTATCCAACCTGACTGGCTGCTGGTGTATCGTTCTCCAGGTTTATTGGCTCCCAGCATGCTTTGTGTCCTGTTTATTTCAGAGAGGTCATTTTCTTTTCCTGATAAATCTGCTCACTGAGCTCCTTACCGTGAACACACGGCCTTTGTCTGGCTGCTGCCCGCCCACCGTAACTCTGATGGATTACTGATCCAGCTGAGATCACTCGAGGCTGCATGAAGTTCTTGTTGCTCTCAGAAGAAACAATTCCCTCTTAAAACTTTAGATTTCACTGTCTGAGTCAACCCTCTTTGTTTGTTAGGCAAATATTTCATGAACCAGTGATTTTAATGACATGAATAATAGAGAAATTGCATTTCCTGCGAAAATGCAGTGTAAATGCTTATTGCTAATGAACTTGATGAAAAACAGGTGAAATTAGGTAAAAACATGCTGAAATGTTGCTACTATAAAAGAACAACAAGCCTAAGTTAGCAGGAGAAAGTAGAAAGATCACATATTTGCTTAATCTGGTTTAAATAAGCAGAAATGAGCACAAAAACTAGTAAATTATCTCTAACTGCTGAAATTATTTTTTAAAGCTGAAAAGGTAGAAAGAAGCTTAAATCAGCGGGAAGTGGAGAGAGCACAGTTGTTCCCAATTAGGCTGAAAGATGCAGAAATGAGCACAAAAAAGTAGTGATTATCTGAAAAAAGCTGAAATTAGCATAAAAAAACAGCTGAAAAGTAATTAAAACAGCAGAAAGAAGCTTAAATTAGCAGAAGTGGAGAGTGAACATTTTTGCTGAATTAGACCAAAAAAAAAAGCTTAAATGAGTGCAAATACTGTGAAATTGGCTGAAAAGGCTAACATTAGCATAAAACAGCTAAATAGTAGCTGAAATAAGTGAAACTAGCATAGCTAAGCTGAAAGGAGCATAACAAGCTGAAATTAGCAGAAATAAGTTAATTAGGCTGAAAGTAGCAGAAATTACCACAAAAAACTTGAATTTATCTGAAAACAGCTGAAATTCGCTAAAAATGTAGCTGAAAAGGTAGAAAAAGCTTCAGTTAGAAGAAGAAAGTATGAAGAACACATTTTATTTATTAACCTTTATTTAACATTTGCCCAATCAGGGTGAAAGAAGCCGAAAGGAGCACAAAAAAGAGGAAATTATCTGAAAAAAGCTGAAATTGAAAAAAAAAAAACAGCTGAAAAGTAGCAAAAAACAGCTGAAAGAAGCTACAAGAAGGAAGCAAGGAGAGCACATTTTTGCTGAATTAGGCTGAGAAAAAGTTGAACAAAAAATGTGAAATTAGCTGAAAACTGAAATTATCATAAAACAGCTAAATAGTAGCTGAAATAGCATGAAATACTGAAATGCATAAATAAGCAGAAAGGAGCATAATAGATCTGAAAGGAGCACAAAACATCACAAAAAACCCAGCTGAAAGTAGCTAAAAAAATTTAAATGTGCACAAGGAAGCTGAAAGAAGCTGAAGCAGAACAAAATGTGAAATAAGCATTAAAAGGTTGTAAACACATCTAAAGATTTGAAGGATGAAAAATGAGCTTAATTCATTTTCTATGAGGAAAAAAGTGTCAGAAAAATCTAAATATTTCAAAAAGCTAAAGTTGCACCGATACCAAAAGTCATAGCAGGATTGTCCTGAAAGAGCTGAATGTTTTGATTCATGGTTTGTTGAAATGGACTCACTGTATACTGAAAATGTGTCCAATATATTTTCATAAATATAGTTTTCTTTTAATTATTATTTTATTTAAAAACAACACCAAAGCTGTATTAAAATATTTGTCCTGTACAAAACTGTTTCCTATCAGTTTTATGTGTATTTATAAATGTTTATGGGTTATTAAATACAAAAATGTGTTATTATTGTGATAGTTAATACATTTCTTTTTTGTTTAAGTCCTTGAAAAAAATGATCGGGGTGTTACTGAAGCTGAAAGTTGTTTCGAGATTGATTACTGATCAGTTCAGGGGATCACCTGATCGATGGATCGGTTCTGATCTGTAGTCCGTTTTCTTCTCTTGTTGTTGTTGTTGTTTACGTAGTTGCTTCTACAGTTTCTGGCTTTGATCTCTGAGAACAACATTCTTGTTACTGATGGAAAATGTGTAATGAAAACCCGGTGCATCGCAGCAGTCTGCAGCTTTATTCTTTCCTCCTGCTGATTTAATTTAAAAGGAATTAAACTGATATTGAATAAAGTCCGTAAGTGAAAAACAGCTGAGTGGAATTGTGGTTTCAGTTTGTGGAATTAGATCTGGAAACGTAATTAGACGCTCTGCGTCCACAGACCACTTCATGAGACGTCCTGCTGTTTGAAATCAGCTGAAAGCTTTTGTTTTATTTAGACGTTTACGGCACGTTGCTCTGAGCTACACCACATTTAGCTCAACGTCTGTAAACTGAGTTAGACTGCTCTGTGTTGGCTGTGGCGGCCATTTTGGGGGTCATGAAAACCAAGGTTTAAACATAAAGCAGCATGAATTTTGTTTGTTTGTTTGTTTAAACTGCGATGCGATTTGTTTGTTTATCATGTAACCTCTTTCTTTCGTCTTCTTTCGGCTGCTCCCTTCTTCAGGGGTCGCCACAGCGAACTAAGTCGCACAATGTTTTTTTTTTTTTTTTTTTAACACCGGATGTCCTTCCTGACACAACCACAGACCACCGAGCTACCACAGCCCTCTGTGTGGATCAGGGAGCTGCTATCTAGGGCACCCAGGGGAGCAGATGGTGGGGGTTAAGGGTCCAGAGTGGGGCAAATGAGGGTGGAGACAGGTGTGGGTGCTTCACCTTTCCCACCCACATTTTGATGTTGTCAGTACCGGGAGTTGAACCGGCGATCTTCCGATCACAGGCCCACCTTCTCTAACCTCTGCGCCGCCACTCCCTGAATATGTAACCTCATTAAAATGTGCAAAACCACAAACACAAATCAACAACAAAACCCAAAGATGTAGAAAACACACATAATAATAAGCTTATGAAGAAATACATTTTGAAAAAGAGTTTCCTTATGAAAGACTTGTTTTATATGATTTATTTATTTATTTGTTTTTGCTGCAGTCTTTTCTAAAAACTTCAAAGTTCATGCTCGATAATCCAGGTAGAATAACCAAGAAAGTTCAGTCAAGTAATCGGACGGTTTCTTTTTTTTGTTGTTGTTGAGACGTTTCGTCCTTCATCCAAAGGACTTCATCAGTCCGCGGAGCCACAACAAACTCAGTCCCACAAGCAGCACACTCGCAATAGTGTACTAACCAGTTTGATGGTGATAAGATGGTTTCTGGGGCCCACTCTCTCCCCTGTCGACTCCTCTGAGGCAAAAGTGGTTCAATGATGGATTGATGAAGTCCTTTGGATGAAGGATGAAACGTCTCGACCTGATTGAACTTTGTTGGACTTTTCTAAAAAGTTCTGTTTTGTGAATTTTTTTAATGAATTTTTTTGTTTGTTTTGTACTTTGCTGTGATCATGAAGTTGTTTGTTTGGTGACATACTTGTTTGCTTTTTATTGTAACTTGTTTTCATTCTGATTTAGCATTTTGTTTACCATTCTGTCGTTCTTATTTGTTGTTGTTTTACGGTGTAGCTGTTTTCCTGTAGAGTTTTGTCTTGTGTTGTTGTTGTACGACACGTTTTTGTTATTTCGCTGATTGATTACAACCTCCTCACCTGCCTGTAACACACTTGCGTGTCTGAGCTCACATATGTTGACATGTCCGTGTGTTTTGTTGTTGACAAACAGAAGTGGTGTCCGCCGTGAACACGACGCCTCACATCTATTACTGCCGCTCCCCCAACATGGAGGACTTCACTTGCTGGTGGCACCCGCTCAACAACCTGACCAGCGGCGGCGAGATCACCTACGTCCTCACCTACACCAAAGAGTGTGTACAACACACAACACACAATGAACACACACACACAAAAATAAATGTCCCAAATTAAGGTTTAGCATTACTAGAAAGAATGCTCATCATCCACAATTTTTTTCTTCTAAACTAAAACCATTTGATGTTGAGAAATGAGGAAGTTTTAGCTGTTTTAGGCTAATCTTGAAAAAACATTTTGAGTCACGGTCAGGGTGTGCATTTTAGATGACTCTCAGCTACTACCACAACAGATGGTAGTATCTGTGCATATACTACCTGCATATCTGTGAACTTGATTGATCTAAAGAAACTGCAGCTCCTGCTAGAACACAAAGTGAGCGAGCCGAACGACTGCTGATATTTGCTGAAGAAGCTGAAACTAAGTTGCTGAGGGTCAAACAGAACAGAAGCTACAGAGCTAAAATGACAACAAAAACTAAAAATAGCAGAGCGGTAACTTAAAGATAAAAAAAAATAGCAAAACACTGGCTAAAAGCAGCAAACACTAGCTAAAAGTGAAAATAGATAAATGTTTCCAAAAAATAGCCAAACTTTAAATAAAGGTAATAAAATTCTAGCTAAAAGTAGCAAAATGCTAGTGAAAAGCTAAAGTCAAAATTAGCAAAATGTTAGTTAGGAGTTAAGAATAGCAAAATGCTAGCGAAAATAAAAAGCACTAGTAAATGTAGAAAAGCTAGTTAAAAAGAGCTACATCCCAGCTGAATGTACCAAAAATGTTGTCTAAAACTAGAAAAATGGTATTTAAAATTAACAAAACACTAGCTAAAAGCTAAAAATAAATGCTTGCAAAAAATAGCAAAATGCTAAATTAAAGCAATGCTAGCTAAACATAACAAAGGCTAGCACAAAGCTAAGAGTAACAAAACACAAGCTAAACAATAAAAGTAGCAATTTTTCTTCTGCTTTCGGCTGCTCCCTGCGTTAGGGGTCGCCAGTCGCACGAAGACTTGGCAGTTATTTTTACGCTGGATGCCCTTCCTGACGCAACCACAGACCTCCGAGCTACCACAGCCCTCTGTGTGGAGCAGAGAGTTGCTATCTAGAGCACCATGAGGAGCAGATGGTGGGGGTTAAGGGCCTTGCTCAAGGGCCCAAAGTGGTGCGAATGAGGGTGGGGGCAGGTGTGGGTGCTTCACCTACCCCACCCACATTTTTGATGTTGTCTGTACCGGGGCTTGAACCGGCGATCTTTCGATCACAGGCCCGCCTAACTTCTGTGCCACCACTCCCACAAAGCAAAATGCTAGCTACAAATAAAACACCTACAAAAAGTAGACAATTGCTAGCTAAAAAGAGCAAAATGCTAGTTAAAATAAATACAATGCAAGGTGCCAAAAGTACCAAAATGTTGTCCAAAACTAACAAAATGGTAGCCAAATGTGCAAAATCCAAGTTAAAAGCTAAAAGTAGTCACATATCATCCAAAAGCTAAAGAGTAATACAGTAATCTCTTGTTTATTGTGGGGGTTACGTTCCAGTTCCCAGTGGGTTCCGTGCTGGCTCTCTGCATCCGCAGGGCGCTAAGGTCACTGTAAAGAACTAAACTTTTTCCGATCAGATCAAAACTTTCCCTCTATGTATTTCAGCAGAAGGCAACAGAGCTTCTGGGTGTAGCACTGTTGGCTTCTGGGAAATGTAGTCCTTATGTTTCAGAATTACGTTGCTCAAGGTGGCTGCATGTTGAAGTAGCTCTCTTACATTCATTCTGAGATTTTGCTTTGGAAAACTTTAATTTCTCTTTTAACTGGATGTAAATGGCTTTTTGGGATGATTACTTCCTCTGGTATCAGATGCTGTGCCGCTAGAAGGATTTATACTGAAACATTTTTTACTTTTGGACATTTGTTATGATGCGTAATCATAACAACAAGGTGGTTTTCTACAACTGGGAACAGCTGATTAACATCTCAAAAGCTCATATAATACCTCAGCTACAGCCCCAAATCTCAAAGGAGTTGAAAAGGATGCATTCCCATCTACCTGGAGGCGGTGCTCGAGTGCCTGACTACCGAGATCTTGGAGGAAGCTGGAAACGTGGCTCATGACAGCGGGAGGGCCGAGATCGTATCCCGGCACCTGCAGTTAAAAGTCTGCAGTGACGCGGGGCTCAGCAGGCTGCTGGGAGAAATGGCTATCGCTCTGGGAGAAGTTCTGCCAGGCATTCAGGCAATCCTGCTGCCCAAGAGGACCGAGAGCTCTGCTGGGTTTGGGTGGACGGATCGGCATCTGCAGCCAGTTTCTTCATATCTGCTGTGGGACGGACTGCTGCAGATCCTTCCTACCCATAGCCATCAGCATCTTTAACAACTCTAAGGATGATTAGCTACAACAATTAATTCCCCTTTGGGATTAATGAAGTATTTTTGAATTGAATTGAATTATGAGTGGCGATACAGTGTAGGCTTATTGAGAGAAAACTACAAAATGACGGTGCCTGTCTAAAAGTATTTTATTTTTTGTTAACTTTTTACTCTACAGTATCCCATACTGTCACAATCACGTGAGTAATATTAAAGTTGACAATGATGTGTCATGTACAATTTTATTTTTCCTCGTGTTGAATCTTTGAAAAACCGAGAAAGAACGAGTCCGCGAAAGTCGAACCGTGAAGTAGCGAGGGACTGTTATAAGATTTGCAATAGTAGAATTAGATTTTAGTTATTGCTCAAATTTAAAGCCAATAACTCTTGCAATCAGTAGCACTGATTGTAATGTAGTGTTGGGAATGACACCGCACCCAGTTTTAGCTCAATATCTATAACAGACTGAACTTGTTCCATTTTTCTCTTGTCTATGGTCATTTACCTGTGGCGGCCATCTTGAATCAGGTTGACTCATTTGTAGAAACAAATCAAATTATTTTATTCTGAGAGTTTATTTCAAATAGGTCCACTTGTTCCTGAGATGTTTTGCTAACTCACAAACTCCCCTGGAGCCTGAAAACCAGCAGTGCTCTGAAGTTTTCGGATCATGTGAGCGCCATTTCTCAAACCCACCTTTAGTTCTGCTGCAGCGTGAAGCTTTTAAGGCGTCAATATCTGAAACCCTGAACGCCGCCTCACGTGGGCCCAGGCGGCTGATGGACGAACACGGCGCAGGAACCGCCGGCGGTAATCAGGACAAATTGGATTGTACTTTTGACCTCGGGTGGTTTCAATGCTCACAGCAGCATCGATTGTTCTGCTGCCATATGTTGGTGGCAACAGAAGAAAATCTGGGATTATGGCTTGAGTTGGGAGTTTGAAACGATGATTTCTGGCTCTGACAGACAATAATTAGACACGTTATTTTTAAAACAAATTATCTTGTAAATGTTACTTTCAAATCAATAGCTTAATTCCCTTCATCGTTTAGAGGTTTTAAAGTCTTTTCCAGACTCGTATTTTTCCGTTAATCTTTCCCGTCCTCATTGCTTTTCGACAATGAATGAATCCGAGCTGCAGAAAAGCACAAATACCCACAGCTGTGTTGTGTTGTTGGATTACGATCAGCTGTTTTTCAAGGAATCCCACAGATGGTGTTAATTAAATTTGCGGTAATTTACTGCCACACAGTTGTTGTTGTTCTATCGCAGTGCTGGAGGCATATAAATTAGAAAAAATAATTGAAATGTGTTTGACCTGCAGCTCTTGCTGATAAGATCTTAATTTTTTTTTTGTTACTAACGTCAGTCGGTTGGAAACAATTTGACATTCGCGGGAGTGGTGGTGGTGGTGCTGTTTGTATGGGGGGTGCGATGGTGGTGTACCTGGGCGTCTCAGGGCCTGTGGTGGGAGGTTGGTGGGGCACCTGGTCCTTGGCGCGCTGGGCCGGCCTTCTTCAGCTGCTTCTTCCTGCTGCTCTGGCCCCCGGCCTGGGCGGTCACTGTCGGTTGGGTGAGGTGCATGTACGGCCCAACAGAGGCTCTGTCGGGCTGTCTGTGTGTGCCTGTTTATGTGTCAGGTTGGGTTTTGGGTGGTCCCCTCTCTTGGATCATAAACCATTTAATGTGGGGTCTACTTTCCCCTTTCGCACTCCCCTCCTGTGGCGGGTCTCCCTTTCGCTGGCACGTTGGTGGCTCTTGACATCTGGGGCTGGGTGTTTGGGCGTATGCTCTGGTGGCTGCTTGCTGGGGCGTGGGTGCTCTAGCTCTGTTGGGCCTCTATTGGGGGGCGGTATGACCTCGGGGCTTGGGTCTTTGTGTACACAGGGTCCCAATTACATCCAACAACAAAAAGTAAAAGAAAAACAGTAATAAGATCCAAGTTATGAACTAAGAAAAACATCAACTAAATAATACACTAAGCACTAGTAGCATAAAAACAATACGCCAAACAGCAGCACAAACATGAGTCTGTGTGAGCAGATGAGCACGAATGAACACAGCAACAGGAAACAGATCAACAGGAACATGATGAGATTCTTCACAGGGATTATTCTGGTTAGAGCTTCATGAGTCTAACAGCCTCAGGGTAAAAGCTGTTTCTCAGTCTAGTGGTTCTAAACTTAAAGCTCCTTTACCTCCTGCCTGATGGAAGCGGGGCAAAAAGTGTGTGTGCTGGGTGAGTGGGGTCCTTCATGATGCAGGTGGACCTCTTCATGCATCTAAAGGTGTAGATGTAATAGATGTACATTATATACATGAAACAGACATACTGTATTATAAAATAGTTGCATAAAGAGACATTAAAAACAAATGAATGCTTTGAGAAAAAAAAAAATGTAAAAAGCCATAAAAAGACAGAGGCACACAAAGAGCCAGTGTGCTTAAGCGATTTCAAAAGAGTAAAAAGTTTTTGAAGTGTCTTTAGAGATCAAGTGAATGCTGACGCAGTGATAAACAGGGACTGTTAGCGGCACGCATATAGCATAAAATGTTTACCTCTTCCTGAGAGCCGGCGGTAACTGAGCCTCGTGACAGATAGAAAGGCGGCTATATAAGTACAGTCCATTTACCATCCATTTACAAGAAACGGAGGAAGAGGAGCAACCTGCTGCATCGCTGCCTTCACACAAAGAGAGCACAGATGTCAGGCTATGTTTAATAATTCTGACATACACAATAAAATATGTGAATGATTATGGAGGCTTAACAGAGAGATTCACATCCAGAAATTAATAAACAGAGCCCAAAGTTAATATTCTGCTAGATAAAATGGGAGGAAACCCAAGCCAGACCCCTACTGTGGGAATAATTTTATATTTTCTGTCACTTTTATTCCTGCTGTGTTTGTAACAGATTACTCTCAGCTGCTGAACTGGATGAATGTGTTTGTGCCAACTAAGAACGGGTTCTGTTTGCTTTCTGAGTATGATGCTGAGAAAGATTTAAGTTTATTTGTCATATGCAGGTCAACACAAGGTCAACAGTGCAATGAAATGCTGAGGACAAGAAGAACTGTCTCGACTCGTCAAAATAAAAAAAACCCAACAACAACAAGAAATATCAAAGTATACAACAAAAATACAAAAACAAGGCACCAAAAGTGAAAAAGAATAGCAGCATGGTCCTATTAGCAGAGTGGTTCCGTTAGCAGTGTGGTTCTGTTAACAGTGTGGTTTTGTTAGCAGTGAGGTTCTCTTAGCAACATGGTCCTGTTAGCAGCATGGTACTGTAAGCAGTGTGATTCTGTTAGCAGCATGGTCCTAGTGGCAGAGTGGTTCTGTTAGCAGAGTGGTTCTGTTAGCAGTATGGTTCTGTTAGCAG